TTCTCTATCCATTCTTCGGTTGAGGGGCATCTAGGTTGCTTCCAGGTTCTGGCTATTACAGATAGTGCTGCTATGAACATAGGGAGCAGAAATGGTATAGGATAGGTAGGGTGTTAGTGAGGAGCAGGTGAGGAGAGGAGGGACAGGGAACTGGGATTGACATGTAAAACAATCTTGTTTCTAATTTAAATTTAGGACAAGCTGTAACACAGTCGGAGTCACATTGTTTTGCCATGGTGATTCTCTTTCAGGAAATACATCCTAAAAAAATAGAACGGTAAGTCTTGAAAATTGCTCACTGTACTTTTATCATTGCTATCACTATGTAAAATGTATAGATGAAAGGGAATTTTTTGCAGCAGAACGTAAATTAGATTAAGGGTGATTTTTCTCTCCTTTCCTCTGAAAATGTCCTACTTAGTGCTTGAGATATTGGTAGAATTAAATGAATGGTGATTTCAAAATTATTTCTTAATGCAAATTAGATTACTGCTAGATCTACCAAAAGGATAGAAGATTAATTATTCTTTATGGGCATATTGTAAAGTTGTTAATTTTTAAAATAATTGTACAAATCACAAATAGAAGAAAATCTTGAAGATAATAGTCACACCACTGATGTCTTAGAATAGTATGCCTGTCATTAAAATTAATACAACCTGGATACAGGTTGTAATGAGAATGGACGAGGACCTTTGAAGAAAGGCTTTGACAGGCAGGACTGTGTTCTTGATACGGCTCTCTTTATTTTAGAATTGATAGATGTCACCTGCACCCTGCTGCTTCTCAACCCAGACTTCACCACGGCATGGAATGTAAGGTATGTAATTTTCTTCAGTGGTAAAGTGAAGTTTGCCCAGACTTCTGAAGACGTATAACTCCACGACTCTATTAGCTACTTGGAAATGAAATATAAACCATTTGCCCATAGCATCTAACTTTGCTTCTTATGCAAATTCTTTTAATATCTCCATGACAGTCTAACTACTGTGCCCCCTTATAACTATCTTTTCTATAAGCATTTTTTCCCTAAAATATAGATTGCCCTACTGAGTTACAATATACTGTTTGATGCCTGCTTATTGGGGGAATCACAAGCATTTTGTATGACTACTAATTGGATCACTAGGCATGGATAGTTTAGCCTCACTGGAATGCAGGGTGATAGGAGATGTTATTCTGTATATGTTTCTCTTATTGGTTTATGAATAAAACACTAATTGGCCAGGCAGGAAGATAGGTGGGGCTAAGAGAGGAGGAGGATTCTGGGAAAGGTAGGCAGAGTGAACCTGCTAGACAGAGTTGCGATGCTGCTAGAAGAGTAACACCATGCCAGGCATTACTAGGTAAGCCACAGCCTCATGGCAATATATAGATTGATAAAAATGGGTTAATAATTAAGACAGAGCTAGCCAATAAAAAGCACTAGTCATCGGCCAACAGATTTATAATTAATATAGCATCTGAGTGTTCATTTGGGGCTGATGCGACTGTGGAATCAGGCTGGCCAGAAAGAGTGCTTGTAACAGCAGGTAGGTGTGTGAGATAATTACAGAAGGCCACAGGCCTCTAGTCATCTTTTAGTCATAACCACTGTGGTACTGTGAGAGCCACTTAAAATGACTGATGGTTGGGGCTTGGGAGAAGGATCACATTTGGTTAATTCAGACAAGAATCATTATTATTGAAGGGTTTTTGGTTTTGTTTTGTTTTTCAGTTACATGACGTATGTGTATAGGAACTTAAATCAACTGGTATTCATTAGCCTAAAACAAATTTTCTTGAAGGAAAGCAGAAAATGAATGAGAAGTAAAAATGAAGTCTGTTGTATATTCTGAGTTATTTTAAATTTTCCCACAGGGTAGAGCCATAAAAATTACAATTTTTTATCATTAGAGATGACTTAGATTATATTTATTTAACTTTCTGTGTGTTGTGAACAAGATCACATTATACTGGATTTAAAAATTTGAGTAACTTCTATTGATAGATGTCTTTGAATAGTAGTGATGGTTCTGCTGCTCTGAGCATGCTCCTGAGCCTCTTCAGACTTGAGTTAGCACATCTGTAAAATTAGGATATTTGATTGAACCATATGAAACTGCTGGGTCCCTGGTAGAAGGAACTGGGCCCACTGGAGAAATGACTGAATCAAAGACCAAGGCAGTAGTATATGAAATGGGCCTGGAGGGAGCGTCTTGAGAGCAAGAATGTAAAGAAAGAAAGAACTTCTAAAAATAAAATACAGTGGGAACTGTTAAAGGGGCACAAAGGCCAATTGGGAGAACTTCTGGAAGCAGAAGCTGGAATGATTTGAGTAGCAAAATACAAACAGCAGTCTCTTCTTACCCTGGGAAGATACATGCAGGGCCCCTGTGCCTTCAAACCTGCTGTTGATGCTCACTGTAGATAGCATGAACACACTGGACAAAGAATTCACAGCCCTAGTCATGCAACACATGATTTCATCAGATGCCCAGAGCCACTTCCATTTACGATGTTCAAGCCATGGTTGACTATTGTCTTAGTAGGGTTTATTGCTGAGCTAAAACACCATGACTCAAATCAACTCAGGGAGGAAAGGGTTTATTTCAGCTTAGAAGTCTGGGGTCACACTCCATCCCTGAGGGAAATCAGGGCAAGAACTCAAAGAAGGAACCTGGAGGCAGGAACTGAAGCAGAAGAAATGGAAGAACACTGCTTACTGACCTGCTTCCTATGGCTTGCTCAGCCCACGTTTCTTTATAACTCAGGCCAACAGTAGCACAGCCCACAGTAGGCAGGCCCTCCCATATCAATCATTAGTCAAGAAAAAGCCTCCACAGACGTGTCCATGGGCCAATTTTATGGTGGCATAAAGATCCTAGCTATCTTTTGCCAAGTTGACAAAAAACTAACCAGTATAGCAACTGTTTTTAAACTGTAATGTTTAAAAATGGGGATTTGCATATGGTGATGCACAGCCCCAAGCCCAACAATCCCAGTCCTCCCCTCCCCAGTAGGAAGACTACAGACACCTGCTGTGGTGCCTACTTTTTAATGTGGTTTCTGGGGGTCAAACTCAAGCTCCCATGCTTACACAGCAAGCACTTTCCTGACTGAATTGTTTCCTCCCCCTCTCTTTTTTTTTGTTCATTCTTTAATAATTCTTGGTGATTCACCATGGGATTTTTATTAAAAGCAACATGCTTGAATTGAAAATTAACACTTTTTTTTTTCTTCTTGTTACAGGAAAGAGCTCATCCTTTCTGGCACTTTAAGTCCAATTAAGGATCTACATCTGGGAAAATTGGCCTTAACTAAGTTTCCTAAGAGTCCAGAGACATGGATTCACAGGTGTGATTTGATAAGTAGTTTTATATCTCTGTTCAGTATTCAAGATCACAGCTTATGAAACACTGTTATGTGTTCATTCAGAATTTGAATTCTAAAGTCACATAACTTACAGTTCAGTCTAAGAATAATCCCTTGCTACCTCAGTGTCCATGGTAGCAAGTCCTTCCAAGTTTGAGTTTTCACATTCATAAAACGTGAACAATAATTATACTTGTCTCATAGAATTCATGGTTGAGCTGATCTATGCAAGCCCTACTACCGTGCATTAAACAGAGTAGTTGATCAAGAAGGTTGACTATTTTTAACTCATCTGTGGCAACTTTGGAAATTGCATTTAGATACTTAACTATAATACCTGGGTTTGTATTCCTAGTGAATTTGGTGGTCTGATGGTTGTGATGATTAAAAATTTAAATTTTAAAGGAAGCTAAAGGTAACAGGTGTTTGGTGTATGGGCTAAGTAAAAAACTATTAAAACCTTAATGCAAAGACCATTTTTAGGGTGAGAACTTGAGACAGCCAGAATACAAGTAGGACTCTGAAAATTCTTGTTGGAAAGCATGCTTTTCTGAGAGCTCATGTACCTCTTCTCACCTGACTAAAATGCAGTGGTGTAGCCTGCTGTCATGGTGTCATGGAGAAGTTACTCTCAGAAATTTGCCCTAATTATGCCTCTAACATTTCTCATTCATGAACATTGTTGGGTTCTTAGGCATAACCATAACCTTGCCTTTGGCTAGCATTGTAAGTTGACTGTAGCAAACCACAGTCAGTTGTATTTTCTTCTTACCAGAAATTGGCATGGTTTGCTCCAGAAAGCCATGTGCTAGCATTGGGCGGAGGGTGGGGTTGATGCCAGAAGGAAACTATTAAATAAATATGTGTCTCAGTTATTGGGGATCTGTAATTTAAAAACAAAGGTGTTGTATTATAAAACTTCATTGTTTAAAAATAAAATGAATTTTCTTACTCATTTTTCTGTACCTTTGGATTGGAAATTTTTTAGTCTGATAGTGTGTCCACAAAAAAAAAATATGAACTGTTTAGAAACCTTTTCTGTTGCATTTGATTTAAATGTATGCAAATTATACATGGACAAAAGGAGAATCTGTGATTGAGGTCATTTTACACCTTGATGCTTCAATGTCTTTTATTTCCTCCTACAATTTATGCTATAATATCAAATGTTTGCTTAATGGAAGCTATCAAAATGAAGCTTTTTGCTTGTAGACAGGTTCGGGTGAGGCATGCACATAAAATTGAAGGCATGAGTCTGCTCCCTCCTGCCAGAGTCCTCAGTCAGCCCTGCGCCCAGCCCACCACACACAAGCACATAGACTGGCTCCCTTTGTACTCCCTGGCCACGTACAGTTTGGAAGTTGTCATTTTGGAGCTGCTGACCTTCTCTTTTTAAGAGATTTTAAAGTTTTAGCGAAGTTTCTCTTTCCTGTTTGTCATATTTATGCCCCTTCTGGCTGATGTTACTAAGTTGAATTGTATTCCAGAGCATAGTAGCAGCAGCCCCCTCGGCATCCCCATACCTGAACCTCTAGACAACTATTATTTTCCATCTCTCTACATGGAAACTAAGAATAAGGGAACTGGGTTATTTTGCTCTCTCACTTGTGTTCTTCCTTCCTCTTCCCTGATGCCATGTTAACAGGCGCTGGGTGCTGCAGCAGTTAAGTCAGGAAACTTCCTTGCCTTCTTCTGTGGCCAAAGGAAACTTAGGACCAGTTCCTGAAGAGAGGACACAGCGACTAATACAGGAAGAGATGGAAGTCTGCAGTGAGGCAGCAGGAAGATATCCCAGCAACTATAATGCCTGGTCCCATCGCATCTGGGTTTTACAGAATGTGGCCAAGCTGGATCTCAAGGTAAGGCTGTTACTCTTTCTCCATGGCTAAAACTGCCTACCCATCCTTTAAATCTCTGTAGTAGTTTATCCTGGAAAGTAATGCCCCAGCAGCCCCAGAGGATCAAGACAGTTGTGGTTTCCAGAGAAAGCCTCATAATTACAAAAGGGTTTGCATTCCCCACAGGTGCAGCTTGGGACATTGGTAAAGGAAATACATTTGTAGACCAAAGGCATGCAGAACCAAATAGGAAGAGTCAGTACAACTCATTAAGATTATTAAACTACTTAGAATTAAAATTATTCATGGTGATCTCTGGACACATGTCAGTGAGCTGAACCAACAGGCATTCTTTATACCCTTTGCTCTCAGATAGGAAAGGAGAGAGCAGGGACAGACTTGGCAGAGCCTGTAACCTTGGGATTCCTGAGGCCCCTGCAGACCTATGACATCTCAATGATGGTGGGATCTACGTATAAGTTCTTTTACATAGGTTCAGTGTGGCTCTCACCATCTGTCTTTTACAAAGGTTCAGTGTGGCTCTCACCGACTATCTTTGACCTTTTTCTTTAGTTTGGGGAAGGGAGGTTTCCAGAGTATTTTGAGACTTAGACTCCCACAGTTGGATCAGTTGGAGTACTTAGTTCTCATCCAACAGAGTGGTAGCCCAATAGCCTCATGTTCCCTTTTCTGTTACAAAACCATCTCCATTTTTCCTTTGTTGTTTATGGCGTTAGAATAACATGACAATATATGGTGCTGTTCTAAAAACTCCCCAGGGTTGGGGCAATTAAAAGAGGTGAAGTTGAAGGTCAGCATGCCCCAGATGTGATTTAAATTCACAGAGAGCTCCCTGTAGCTGTGACTGACACACCATCAATGTCCTCTCTGCCTTCCCCGTTCCCCTTTCCTCCCTGTGTCCTAGCCAGAAGTCTTCCAGGGTAAATGTAGTTGTCATTTACAAGGGAATTTAAGCCAACCCTTATAGAAGAGTAGACCTTTCCATTTCTGTTCATATGTCTGTGAGTTTCAGGCGGGAAGTACCAGGAGTCCGCAGAGCAGAGGCTTAGAGTCACATCAGCCTGAATTCATATTTGACCTCTACAAGGAAAGTAATTCCTTGAGATTTTATTGTTAAAATAAGGACTCTACTGTCTGTCTTGAGGTTAGTCTGAGAATGGCCTGAGTTGCTGTGATGAGAGTACTGGTGAGAGAGTTTCTTTCATACAGATTTCTTTCTCTGTCCTTTCAGCAATAAAAAGGTTAGGTAAAATGAGCAGCTAGTGAGCTTGATTGGCTCAGTGAAGTTTTATTCATGAGAAATACTTTAGTACTGTCATGTCATTCCTAGCTGATGTGCTGGGTACTGGGATGGGAGTTAAGATCTTGATCTTAAGCCGGGTGGTAGTGGCACATGCCTTTAATCCCGGCACTCAGGAGGCAGAGGCAGGCAGATCTCTGTGAGTTCGAGACCAGCCTGGTCTATAAGAGCTAGTTCCACTGTCTTAGTTAGGGTTGGGTTTATTTCATCTTATAGCTCAGGTCACACTATCACTAAGTGAAGTCAGGCAGGAACTCAGGCAGAAACCTGGAAGCAGGAACTGAAGCAGAGGCCATGGAGGAACACTGCTGATTGGCTTGCTTTCTCCTCATAGCTTACTCAGTGTGTTTATTTGTAACATACAGGACCACCTGCCTTCCATGGGATGGCCTCTCCCACATCAATCAGTAATCAAGACAAGTACCACACTTGTCTACAGGCCAGTCTCATAGAGGAATTTTCTGAAGTAAGATTCATTCTTCGTAAATGAGTTAATTTTGTATCATGTTGGGAAAACCTAACCAGGACTTGTATAACCAGGGGGAAAGGTTATTAAAAATGTATATGACTGTTGGCATGTGTGTTTTCAGTATTTCGTTTTGAGCCAGTCAACCCCTCTGTCCCATAGCCCTGTGGCTATGTTTACTTATTCACATTTTTACATGGAAGTTGGAAGAGAATAAGGGCACTTAAGGTACATTCTAAAAAAGCTTCATTTTGTCAGTACCTGACACTTAAGCCATTCCTTTGTGTTTTTAAAGTCACTTAAAAGTAATTGTTGTCCTTGTTTTTAAATCATTGCCTATATAGCTTTTATTCTAGTTTTTGTTTGTTTGTTTGTTGTTTTTTAAGGAAAATACCTAAAATAAGAAAATGCTCTGAAGTTCCTTGTTTCTTCTCTGACTTGATATGCATTCTTACAAACAGAGTAAAGAAGAGTAGGGTTTTTGGTTTTTTGTTTTTTTTTTTTTTTCTTTAAAAAAGTCTTAATCTGGGCACACTCACGCACATGTGTGAATGTAGAGGCCAAAGGATGAATTGGGGAGGTCTTTCAGTTGCTTTGCTCCACCACCCCAACTGCCTCCCCTTCCCTTCTCTCCCCCTTCCCTCTCTCCTCTCTCTCCCCCTGTCCTCCCGTGTTGTTTTCATGTGAGTGGACAGGTAAGCATGCCTGTGTGCACCAGAGCAAGCAGTCAAATGCCTTCTTCTCTTGCTCTTTATCTTAGTGCCCGGCTACAGGATCTGTCACTGTACCAGAAACTCACCATTCTGTCTAGCTGGCTGGCCAGTGAGTTCTTGGTATCTCCCTGCTTCTGATCCCCAGTGCTGGAGGTCCAGGCATGCGCAGCCATGCCTGGCTTTCTCCATGGGCACTGGGAACTTTGACCGTGGAGGCATGTATTCAGCCCCCACCTTTTTGAGATACAGTCTCTCACTGTACCTGGAGCTTACTGAAGTGGCTAGACTAACCAATAAACCTCAGAGATCGCCCCCTCTCTGCCTCCCTAACACACTCCCCACCCCATGCCTAGCTTTTTTCTGTGAGTGCTAGAGATCTGTACTCAGGTCTCCATGCTTGTGTGGCAAGCACTTCACCAACTGAGCCATCTCCCCAGCCCCTTTAATATTATTTTTAAAATAATTAAATTGGTTTTATTGAAAAACTTTCACCTATGTGTTGCTTTTGTCGTAAAGTTAAATAGTAAATTAAAGTTTTTTTAAAGTAGAGTAATATCTGGTCAGAAATATTCCAAAGGTTTTCCATGTTGTTACATACATTCAGTTTAGATAGCTGCGGTATTGCCAGTCCATATTGAGAAGCCAGACTGGCTTCTATAGATGACTAACTGCCCTACAGACAGTGGGCAGAGTCATAATAATAATAGTAATAATAGCAGCCTTAAAATGATGTTTTTCAGATACAGACTCAAGTAGAAATGGCTCTGGGTTTGTTCACCCGATAGCTTTGTAAATAAATGTAGCGGTAGTGATTGAACCCCTTAGAAGTTAAGGGTCCAGCCCTCAAGGGGCTGATGCAGAAGGAGCATGAGTTCTAGGCATGTCTGGACTACATCACCAGACCCTGTCTCAGAGAAAGTGAAATAAATATTAAAAAAAAAATTAAAGGAGATGTGAAAACATATAAATGATATACTTTGCCCATCCAGGCTAGTAATCTTAGTCCTGCCTTCTTTAAATTTTTCATTCATTGATGCTAGTGAGCAGAAGACAATGGACACACCAACTAAGGATGAATAAATATCCTATGCCAATTTGTTGTTACATTAAAAATAAAACATCTTTACAATTTAATGATAATGAAGACACACACAGCAGTTCTTTATGTGAAAATGTACAAGTACTGGAGGTTCAGAAAGGGAAGCTTTCTTCTGAAAAAGGCAAGCTTTCTTCTGAAAAATGGAAAGTCTGTGAGACTTTTCTCGGTACAGGAAAAGCGTTTGCTGGACTCTTTGAAGCAGGTAGAGGTCATTTGATCTACATTGTTCTCTGCTCACAAGTGTGTGGTCTTTTCTTTAGCTTGCCTGGAAACCCTCTACAGAAGCCAGGCATGTTGACTCTCACTTGTCCTCCCACCACTTAGGAAGCTGAAGCAGGAGCATCACTGCTAGTCTGAGGCCGGTCTGGGCTACATAGTGAGTTCCAGGAAGTCCAAGCTACAGAGTGAAACTCTGTCTCATAACTAAACAAAACCCCAACAACTCCCCTAATGGAACATGTCAGGTTTGTGATGGCATGTTTCATGATCAGCTGTCCAAATAATCCTGCTTCACAAATGTTAGAACCTTTAGCATTCCTTTTGAAATTCATTAGTTTGAAATAGGTTTTAAATACTTTAGAACCTAATTGGATCTCATCCACTTATTACTGTCAGTTTGAGACAAAGAGTGACAATTGTGAACCCCTGTAAAATCCTAGTTTTTGTGCATCATAGTTTATGCTTAGCCCTTACGATTAAGAAGTAGAAACAAACTGCAGTCTCTGCCTTTACATCATTCATTGTGAAAAGCAGGTGGGGTCTCTTACTGAAAGTATAGTGCATATTCTTACAAGTAGAATATAAGTATTGAATATAATAAGAATCAAAATCGCCTGAATTTATGTTGTGTATTTTCTCATCGGCAATAGTATTACTTGTAAATAAATACCCCAAAATTCTTTAATTTCGAATTTGTTGGCCATTCACAGTGTGGTTAGGTGAAGGGAAATCATGACAAGTTCTTAAAGTCTGTAATAAAAAAAAAAAAAAAAAAAAATTTCCCCCTTTGTAAGGGGGGACTAGGGAAGCTGGCATGCGTTCAGCTTCTAAGAGGGCATCATGCGGGACTTTGTATACAAGAGACTGGTGACAGGGAATCAGAGACAGCACAGGTGACAATGGAGAAAGCAAGCCTTTGTAATGCGCTTCTCACTTCCCATTTTCTTCCTACAAGATCCTTCTTGATGAGCTGTCTTCTACTAAACACTGGGCGTCCATGCATGTTTCAGACCACAGTGGATTTCACTATCGCCAGTTTCTGTTAAAGTCTTTGATTAGCCAGACTGCAATGGACGCTTCTGTACTGCAGCACAACTCTTTGAAAAATGAGCCAAAAGATGAAGAAGCAACAGCTACAACAGAGGAACCAAGGATAAATCTTACCCAGCTCCTAGAAGAAGAAGTGGAATTCTGCACAGATCTTATTAATTCCTATCCAGGACATGAAACCCTTTGGTGTCATAGGTAAGAGAAGAGAAAAATCCATGTCCTATGATTAACTGGCTGTGTCCTTATGAGACTGCAGAGCCTGTTGTATCTGACGTCTGTCTGAGAATGTAAATATTCCGTCTGGTTTTGTGACTGAGGAAGGGCTTTTGTCCATCATCACCATTGTCAATGTTAATATGAAGTGTCTCACACACCTTTGCCTGTGGTTTTAGGTTCACCCTTAAGAACACAACAGAGTGACTTGTGTTACTTCCAAAATAGTATAAAAACAAAACAAAACATGCAGATGTGTCATGACCCTTTGGAGATCCTGAGAATTAGCATATCAGGGATGGAATGTTGCCAGGTGTTTTAAGAAAAGTAAAGCCTTCCAGATCATTTTGATGTAGTCAGGATTGAGACTAATAACTAGACCATGGATATCAGGTAAGCTTTATCTTTTCCCTTCTCTAATGGCCTGCACATTAATTATCCTAACTATAATAACAATCAGAAAGGCCATCAATTTTTTTTCTTTTATTAGTTCAAGTTAGGGAACAAGCTTGTTTCACATGT